GAAAAAAATAATAGCAGATGCAGCTTTAAAAGTACTTGGTGCTCTTTTAGTTGAAAGGTGCTGGGCACAAGTCCTACAATCATTTGTATTTGATAATCTCTATGAGAACCTTGGACCTGATGTTGCAGCCTTAATAACTCTAATGAATTTGCCTTTGCAAGCCTTAGAAAAATCCCTTGGAATTGTGTACATGAAAGAGATACGTGTCAAACAGTGTTCTATAGCGGGAAATGTAGATGTTGGGAGGGAGAATTCCTTAGTTATAATCCATTAAATTACTGCCTCTCTTCTCCACTGATAACAGGTGGGTTGCTTTCAGAATGGCAAGACTTCAAAATGCTTGTGTGTGCTATGAACACTCAAAGGGAGTACAGTATACAGAAGTTTTTGAACATGCATTTTTTTCTCTTCCTAAATCCACAAGCCTACTTCTAGCGTTACGTTGAGCCGCTGTACCTTTAGGCTCTGAACTCTGCCTCACGGCACCATCTGTTACTGTGCACCTGGGACCCCAAATAAGTTTAAACTCTCTTCCAGAGAAGATCTCTTCAGCTGTTTGAAGACAATGATCATGCTCTCCCAAGACTTTTCCAGACTAAACATTGCCACCCCCTGCAAACATTCCTTATCTGGAAGAGTCACCATCTCCTTTCTGAGACTGTTTTAGTTATATTCTCTTAAAGGGGGCCCAAATGAGCAAAGAATAGAAAGAGACTATTTGCCCCTGCTGGATAGGGTACTGCATTGGGTTTTTATCTTCAAGGAGAAAATCAGCCATAAAGTATAGAAGGCAGAGATTAATAATCCCAGGGGACAAACCAATGGGTTCTAAGCACTTCAATTCAGTATAGAGGCATACTGTAGCTCAAAGGAGAGTTTCTGTTTGAAATATTTTTAAAAAGGGTTTAGAGAGCACTTGTGCTTTATTTACAACCTATATCACCCCTAAAACAATTGTCCAGTTAAATGAACTCAGAGGTTTAATTTCCATTCTGAGAATACACAGATTTGACATTTGCTTTTCAAAGAAACCCTTGTTCTCTGGCCTCTCTCACCAAGAGACAACATCATTGGTGAGCAAACACTGCTTTTTTTTTTTTTAAGTTTTGTATCTTTATGTTTATACATGTGTATAAATATTTTGTTCCACTCAAGTTTTGGTTAGTGGCTTCGGCAATGGGATGTGGTCAGAATAGGTCAGGGAACAATTAAACTAATGGTCAAACAAGAGCACAACAGAAAGGTCCAGGACTCAGTGTAATATAGTACTTCTCATGCTATGTGACTCATTATTATGGTAATGCAGTGTTATAGGCACATCAGTGCCAAGGTTGCTCTGCATTTTAAAATCACTTCTGTGAAGGATGCCTTTGACTGCATCTTGAAGCATTAAAATATGTTTATAGATGTCCTGAGTACTGATGGTGCCTTGTTCAGATCTCATTTACCAAGCTGTGCCTTGAGATTTGGCTGCTAATGACTTACAGACATCATTCCCACCCCTCCCCCCCAGAGAATTGTCCTCAGTCAAATGGGATCCTCCTTGGGGTGATGCCACATCCCTATTCCTTCCTGGGGCAGCCATGGTCAGTGACTGGGTGACAGTCATGTACAAGGCAGGCCTCTTGTCTCAAAGTGGGTGCGCTGAGTGGGATTGTCTAAAGTGGACTTCAGCTGAGGTCCTATCCTTGCCTAAAGCCTTCCCTTGTCCCTCTTGCTTCTTTGACCCTCCTCCTGAGGGTGTTCCGTGCATTTAAACCATTTTCATAGGAATCTCTGAATCAGGCCCTTCTTCTGGGATTCCTACATAAGACAATGCTATTATTAATTTTCCATATTATGGAAAAGTTATGAAAGTGAATGATACTTTGTAACAGAAACGGTATAAGAGAAGTTGAAATTTAAGCAATAAAATCCAACCATTTTGATAATTATCTGTTTAAAAAATCTGAGTTCCTTTAATATATTGTGTCTTCTAAGTAGGCTCCAACTAAAAAAAAAACATTTAATTTAAAAATAATTTTAGAAACAAGGTATCTGACCACAAACAAAAGAATGGGATTTTTTTTTTTGGAAAAATCTCCTTAATTGATGGAGTAGACCAATGCATGGAGATAGTCATGTTAAAAGCACAGATTGACTTGTTGAAGTCTTTGAAATTTCAGTGAGATGCAGATTACCACATAGATTCAATACTCCCCTGAAATGAGCCACTGCAGACAGTTAACTCAATATAAAGATAAAATGCCATAATGGAATACATTTAGGTGATTCACACCAGAGACAGGACTCCCACCCTCACTTACACGTTCAACACCAGAGGATTGCAAGATTACAAGAGTAAACTTCTTGGTGGAGGAAATATGTTCATTTAGCCAAGTACAAGAGTCAGCTCCAAATTCTCCCAGTCTAAAGACTTGAGTCCTCCTGACAAAAGCAGTCATGTTCTTCTGGTTCCAAAGGCAGGGACATTCAGCCCTGGGGCTGATAGGCATCCCTATCTATTTCTCTATGTCTCCATGAAAGATTGGGTTGGCTATCTTTGTCTTGCATAGGTCACCAATTTTTCTAGAAAGGGGTAGCCTAAGGAATTGATCATAAAGGTTAGCAAGGTCCTGGAGGCTAGATTAGATTAGCCACTATCTGCTTAACCCAAAGGGTCTAACCCAGATCCAGGTAAGTAGGTGAGGAGAAGTTTTAGCTCTCAGGTAGAAGGGCAAGGGCAAAGTTAGCAGTAGAGAGCTAAGGAAATTAGAAACAGATGGTCAATGAATGGGCCTGAGGTCCTGTTCTCTTTTTATTGATCAATGGTCCTGTGGTAATTGTGTGGCCTTTCCAGTTTGAGGGCATAGGCATCAGCATCAAGGCACAAATGGGGAGCCTCGTAGAACCAATTGTGAGTGTCCACTCCATCTCAGAAATGCTAGATGGAGAGGATATCAGTTTCATTTTCTAAGGAAGCACCCATTAGCTGGAAAGTGAATAAATCAGATTTGATTTTTCTTATGCATCCTTATACAATCCTTAGATTTAAGTTAAAGGGGGAAAATAGCTTTAATATCTTTTCTGAAATGTCATACTTAGGGACTAAGAGCATCTCATCTTTCCCTACCATCTAGAGTATGAAGATGGCCTCCTCTGGGGAGATGGGAGGCTAGATTTCAGGGGCAAAGAAAGAGGAAGAGGGCAGATCACTTGTGCTCTGTTATCAGTGAATTAAAAACACCACGCATTGTTCAGGAAGTTAGGACATTGGTCAACCCCATCTCAATTTCCCCTCCTCTCACCTCATTCGTGTCTTTTTTCTTTTCCCCTTTCTGTGCTACCTCACATCACCTTTCTAAACTCCTTTCTTCATTCCTAGAAGAAGCCAACTATTGGTTTCCTTTATTTCATCTTTGAAAAGAGCACTGTGACTTGTTGACTATTTTTTCCTTTCATTTCAAGATAAAAAGGCGGCTGCAATATAAGTTTAATTATGATCAGAGAAAAGCAAAGTGCCATTCTCTTTAGCACAGGGCTTTTGTTTTTTAATATTTAGAATAGAGTCTTTCAAAATTTTTGTTGTACTTGAGGTGCACCTAGAGTCCCCTGTAGGGTAATGACTGTGACATTCCTCAGAGGTGAACTCATTCCCATTACTCATTTTTAAAAACACATGTTCATTTGTCTTTTCGCACTCATCACAATGAGATTTAAAATAGATGCTCATCATCACTTATTTAAGGGTTATGAATAGCACTGCCTTGAAAAGGCTTGGTGGAAATACGTGTGGAAATTGAAAGTGACGCATCAGAACTAGAAGTCAGGCATTCACAAAAAGATTAAGGTTGGAGGCTGGACTGCCTAAGTATTCTGGGCATGGGGCATGCTGAGACCACCACTGGTGACCCAAGCTGACTGTCACACTCCAGCCACCACTTCCAGATGGGGACATGAAGCAGGAGCACAGGAACTCCGAGACATGGCAGAATTTACCAAATGATAAAGGATCTATAATCCAGAGACCACCTAAGTGGTCATTTAGATTAACTGACCCTGTGTTCATGCCCTTCTCCTGGTGGCTTACAGTCCCCACTACTAGAGGGAGAGTAGACATCTCCATCCCTTGACTCTGGCTTGCTCTTGTAACTAACCCTGAACACAAGAAATGCCAGCAGAAGCCCAAGGCCTGAAGAAGCTTTGAGTTCTTCCACCCATTCTTCCCAGAAGAACATGGCGAGGCTGGGCCATTGGTTCAAGGACATGCAATAAATGAGTGGAGTCTGGATCAGCCAATCTCTAGCTGTTCTGAAGATGCCCAAGTGAGAGTAAATGCTGCCTCTGTTTTAAGTACTGAAGTTTAAGGGCAGTTATTAAGCAACACCATGGTGGGAATCCTTGACTGATATAAGCACTACTTCTAAACATGGCTTGTTTGAAGGAAGAACATGAGTACTGCTACTAGAAAGTAAAAGTGTGGGTAGATAATACTTTCCTAAAAATGAGGACTGGCCTGATGTGTTTGATTCTAATAGGAACTAAAATAGCTCCCGATTGGAATATCCCACTCCTTGGCAAAGGGTGAAGGGAATTGCAGAATTCTGTGTTCTTGGCCATACCGGAAGTCATCCATATGTCCAGTCTCAGTGATGGCAGACATTGGCCTCTTTGGGAAACACACATTCCAAGTCTCACTTATTGGCCATATGCAATGTTGGGATGATATAGATGTACAAAGAACTCACTGGGGGATAACCCTAAAGGGCTTTAGGGCCCCCTGGAGGACCAACTGAAGTTGGTCTAAAACTGTAGCACAACCCAACTTCTCCCCCTGCCCAGCCCTGCTTCCCAATTACCTCTCCACAAATACTCTTCTCCAAAGCACGCCTCAACAATCCTGTCTGCATATTTCTGAGGCTCAGAGTCCATCTCTGGGTACCTGGACCCGTGGTAGCCCACTTTCTCTCAGCTTTCCAGGGGGTGCTGGATCCGGAGGAAGGGGCAGGGGAAAGCCTTACCCACTATCATGTGGTTGCAGACGTCGCAGAAAGTGGGCTTCTTGAAAATGTGTTCCTGAAAGGCGTGAGCCTTGCCGCTGCCTGGGTGCAGGCCAGCCCTGGTGGGCGTGGACGCCAGGCTTCCTGGAGCAGGCAGGGGGCTGGAGCTGGGGCTGACCTCGGCCTGCATGTCCGCTTGCAGCTTCGCGTCGCTGTTGGTCCGCTGGAAGAAGTTGTCAGCACTTTTGCTCCGTAAACTCTTGGTCTTGAAAGAAAGTGATCGTTTTAGTTTCTGGAGCTGCAATGCAATGACAGAACAGTCTCTCTTACGATCTATCATGCAGACTCATGCTGGGGGTGCGGAGGTCAGCTCCATGCACGGAACGGTTCCCGCTGACACCCACAGTCCCCCGGGGAGGCGCCTATGTGTCCTTGTGTGGGTGAGGATGATGTCAGTGCCCAGTGAGGATGGAATTCAGCAACGTCCCCTTCCCTTGTCCCCAAGCCAACACAGCAGGAAAAGGCACTGTTGAGCCTCTCTGCCTTTCCTTCCCTGCTTCCTTAAATTTCCACCAACCTGCAGTCACAAGGGCCCTGCCAACTGGGCTTTTGTCATCATTTGCTCTTTTTTATTCTTTCAGAGTTAGAGATTGAACCCAGGGCCTTACGATGGCAGGGTAGGGGCTCTACCACTAAGCTATGTCCCTACCGGCAATACCATTTGGTTTTGCATTTGAATAAACTGGAAATGATGTATGACTTCAAGGGCTCCAAGGCTGTGCGCAATGCTGGCTTTTCTCTCTTAGGATCACTTAGCAGCTGCTTGTCTTCGCACACTGCCAAGCAGGAGAGGCCACTCTCTGACTCGACATCAATCTGGCTAAATTATCCACAGAACACAAACCAGAAACTCTCAAGTTCACTTGGATCTGGAGCATGTGGATAAGTAGCCTCTGTGTGTATGCCTCTGTGTGTGTGTGTGTGTGTGTGTGCACATATTTGACATAGTGTTTCAATTACACATTTGGTTTTCTTTGTCCTTCCTATGGCACTGTCCCTTGTATTTTTTTTGCGGGGGGGGGGGGGGTAGGTGGGTACTGGGGATTGAACTCAGGGGCACTTAGCCACTGAGCCACATCCCCCAGCCTTATTTTATATTTTATTTAGAGACAGGGTCTCCCTGAGTTGCTTAGCACCTAACTTTTGCTGAGGCTGGCTTTGAACTCACAATCCTCCTGCCTCAGCCTCCCGAGCTGCTGGGATTCCAGGTGTGTGCCACAGCACCTGGCCTTGTCCCTTGTTTTGTCCATGACAAACTAGACCATTTCCCCTTTGCCTTTGGGATTTATGAAGAGGCACCAACATGGATTTAGAAAAGTAGTAGCTTCTGCCTGTCTTTCTGGGTTTGAGTGGAGGCTGCAGTTCTAACCCAGCCTCTATTACTGCCTTCTAATCCAGTCTTCTCATCAAGGCTGGAGGGATCTTTTGGAAACATCGATGTGAATGTGTGAGACTCTGTTTAAAATCCTTCAAGACATTTCCTTTTCCTTAGGTTTAAGGAAATCTCCTGGCCTTGGGCTCTAGGGACTGGTCGATCTGAACCTGGTAACAGCAGCCCAGCACCTGCTTTGCTCTGTTCATCCAAGACACTGGCCTTTTCCAAGTCTCTCATATTCACTATGCTTTTCATCATCAGCCTCGTTTCCCTTCAGGGAAAAGAAACGAACCAGTACTAGCTGCATGAATTCCAACCGGTCACTTCACCTCAAAGGTAGCTTCCTTTATAACTGTATGTCTATGGCGGTTGTTCTGTTGCCTGGAATTAACATCCATAGCTCAGAGCTGCAGACAACATGGGGCTTCATTCTGATAAGGGTCTTCACCAAATGTGGTCAGGCTCCCCTACATGATATATAAGACGATCTGATGTGGCATTGCCAAATCCAGCCACCTCCACCTCCACCTCCCCAACATCTACCTCAGAAGACCTGGGAGGTGTGGTGGACAATAGGGCTTGGAGTAAACCTAAAAAACAAAAAAAAGCCACAATTCCCTTCCCTTCACCCTCCTATCCACCCTACCTTGCAATATGGCTTTGAAGCTACTCCCTTAAAAGTGAAGACTCGTCAGGTACCTTGGTGCACACCTGTAATCCCAGCTGCTTGGGAGGCTAAGGCAGGAGGATCATGAGTTCAAACCTGTCCTCAGCAAAAGTAAGGCACTAAGCAACTCAGTGAGACCCTGTCTCTAAATAAAATACAAAATAGGGCTGGGGATGTGGCTCAGCGGTTGAGAGCCCCTGGGTTCCATCCCTGGTATGTTCCCTATCCCCCCATAAAAGTGAAGACCTTTTTCCACTTCTTTAATCTTGATGGTTTGGGGAATTTGGCCAAGAGAAGGTGAGAGAAGCAATTTGAAGCCTCAGGATGCTGTGCCTGCTTAGGGCCTCCCTTTGGAAACCTGCCAGACTGCCATTTAAACAAACCTCCAGTAGCCTTAAGGATTACGAGAGACATATGGTCTAGTCCAGCCCCCATCACTCCACGAAGAATCCAGACACAGAACCACCCTGCTGCCCTGCAGGCATAAGAATGTCCAGCTGGGACCACAACTATCCAGCTAAGTCTCACTCAAATTGTCAACCCACACACTCATTGATTGAAGCATTGACTGGTGTTTTAGGCCATTCTTAGGCTGTAGATCTACTTTGTGTACAGTAATAGATAATGGACACAATGCTGTTCTCCCCACCCTCTGAGCTTGTGAAGGGATGGTACTTCTTTGCCCACCTGAAGTTGGTTATGCTTGTGTGAAACCAGCTCTCCACTTCATGGAGCCACTGAGTGGGAAGACTCTGTAAAGCCTTCTAGAAAAGTCCCACCAGTGTCAGCAATGAGGCATCATCAGCCAGAAAGGACCAAACAGAGAAGCTTCAACTACCTACACAGAGAGGTCGAAAACAGTGGCTCACCCGATACTCTTGTCTCTTTTTCTCTGCCCTACAGCTCAAACCTACCAGAGAAACTAGACTTGCCAAAGACAGAAGCCGAAGGGCCCTTAGTTATTGTGGAGTTGTTTGTTTCTGTAGCATAACCTGGCATATCTTGATATGGGGGAGTGAGGTCATGAGTCCTTGAGAGCATTGCATTTATTTTGAAGAGGGCCTTTCATCTCTGAAAGAGCCAAGTGAGAGAAAATTATGAAGCAATCATTCACTGAGATCAAGCCAAACCAAGGTGAAGACCTGGAAGCAGCAAAGAAGCAAAATAGACCTTCTTTACTTCAAGTCCTTCAGGCTGTAATCTGGACTGGTACTGGAGAAAGGATGAATTAAATAGGAGGAGACACTATAGTCTCATTTTAGACTTTTAATACATTAGAGTAACCAAGAAGTTCAGGATTCTGCTAAGATTTTTGTCAAGGATGTGCAACTCAGGGAGAGGGAGGCTTATCAAAGCAAATACCATCACAGAGAAAAGCTAAAATCATTTTCTGTTTGCTTCCCACTATGTTCAAATAGTTCAACAAATTGGCTACCCATGTCTCAAAATAGAATAATAACCCCTTCCCTGATTATACCAGGACGGAGTGGTGAGAGTCATAGAGGATAATGCACGGGAGAGCTCTCTGAGAATGAATATAAATGGCAGGCAGAACAGGGGAGCCAGATCTGAGGCCGTGGAGCTGGGCCAAATATTTCACAAGGTGATCCATTCCAACCCTCCCTACCCTTCAAGGGAAATGTTGTTTCATCCTTGGAGAAATGGAGGCTGACAGAGTTTAAGTAGCTTGGTTAAGGTCACCTAGCTTATGTGAATCAAGACCAGGTTCAATGTTAAATTGTCTTCCTCTGGCCCCGATGGGCCCTCCACTGCCTGTGAGTCCTCTGGGGATGGATCGAGGATAAAAGAGAGGCACTCCTCACTCCTGGGGAGAGGACTGATGTTGGTCAGTGATGGGGAGGAGGGATGTGGAGTGGGAAAGAAAAATCTACTTTCTGGTATCTGCGTGGCCTGGAAGTTCATGTCTGATATTTAAGTGTGATCCTGGGAAACCTGCAATCTTTACCTTGACTTATGGTATGGGGCCTGAAATTGTGTCATGCTGTTGAAGCCTGCCTGCCTCTACAGCCTGAGAATTTCCTTGGAAGCAAATGTAACATTTCTCATTCAAATGGACAGCTTAAAAACCAAATAAACAAAGTCTCACGAGTGAGCTCAAAGCAACACACTTTTGCCTAATTATCCCTAAAAAAGCAGAGGCAATAGGAACGTATAAAAATCCATAAATTGAAGCAAACTCTGAAAATTGCAAGTGTCACAAATAACTAGCTTCCATGCACCAGTGTCACCAGTCCATTTCCACTTGATTTATAATAATCACAGTAAAATTAGCAGATATTCTTGAGTACCTCACCATGTGCTGGAAACTACTCCTTATACTCCTTAGCCTCATTCATTCATTAAATAATTCATTCATTAAATAATTCATTCAACAAATATCTATTGTGTTACTACTATGAACGATAGTCCTTGATTTTGGTGGTATAGCAGTGAGAAAGGACAATGTCTTTCCCTTTAAAGATTTAAGGTGTTGTAGGCAGAGACATAAAATATAGAGATATATACTAAGATTTGGATGGGTAGAAGGCTACCAAGGAAAACAGTAGCAGATTCAGCCTTAGAAGGTGATGAGGAGGTCTTCTCTAACAGGTAGCATTTGAGCAGAGAAAGAAGTGAGTGTGAGCTACACTGGAGAAGAGAATTGTGGGTGGTGGTAAAACCAAAAGCCAAAGCCCCAACAAGAGAGCAAGGTTAGTGTATGTAAGACACATCAGGAGGACAGTGTCTGCAGAATGATGGAGAGGAAGGGCACAGATGCCAAGGGCAGCATCATTCAAGGCCTTGTAGGGCTTTGGAATTTATCCTAAGGGTAATGGTTTTGAACAGTGAAGTGAGAATCTGACTTTATTTAGAAAGGACCACTCTAGCAGCCTTTGGAAGACATAGCAAGAAGACAAGATGGAAGCCGGAAGACCAGTTGTGAGACACTTGCAATGGTCCTGAGGAGATATCGTAATTCTGCTTGGCCTAGCATGGTTAGGGTAAGATGTGGCTGGACTGAAAAGGTAGAATTAGGGGATTTTTAGGGGATGGATGTGGAAGGTGAGTAATTTCAAGATTTATGATTGGAACAACTCTGTGAATGGAGGTGCCCTTTACTGGATCGAAGAACACTGGGGAAGAAAGACGCCAACATGCGGGGTGGGGTGGTTTGAAATGCTTATTTGGAATTCAA